GACAAGAGACTTGATAGAGGATACAAATACAGTATTGTAAGAATAATATATTCTATGTAATGCTTAAATGTAAAAGCAATAGTAAGAGATTTTAAGTTGGGTTGGTAAGATTGTTTAAAAAAAAAAATTAAAAGGATTTTTCTTCTTTCTTATTGAGTGCAAAGGGAAAGTTGAAAGGAAATCCCTTTATACTCTATAGTGAGGTGGCTGATTCTTGATTCCATCTTCTTAAAGAAATAATAAATTAAAATAACTACAAAATGAATAATACTTTGAACAATCAAATTAAACAGCTATTATTTGTACCAAAAAAATAAATAAATTAAACAGCTATTATAGCTGAATCTACAAGAACAACACGCAGACAACTTAAATTTGAAAACACAATAAAGAAAATACTATGATTATTATAAATTATCATGTTCGGAGAACATCCAATACAGATACCAAAAAAACAACACAATTAATCGCATGAATGCCTTAGTATCGCTTCAAAGATATTAATAAATATATATAATTTCACTATGAAAATTTAGTATTGCTTCGAAGATATTAATAAATATATATAATATCATTATGAAAAATAATAAGATATTGTAAACAAATTATACTATGTTCTTCCAATTTTTTTTTTATTCATGGAAACTACAATTTTAGATTACTTTTTGCTGTAAAGTTAAAAAAGATGCTTCACTTTTTATTATTTCCTCTTTTCCATTTACTTCTCCCATCCTCAAAAGCCCAATAGTGAGCCCAAAATTAAACCATCAGTATTAGCCTTACTTAACATTTTGTTAACTTCAATTAATTCCCCTATCTCACATGGATATTTTTACCACTTTTGTCACCTGCTGATGTAACTAAAATTAGAGAAAATAAAAGTGTATCATGAGTTCATCATGACCATATAAGTAAAAGCAATCCTACTATATTGTCCAGAACAAATTATTATAAATTTATATATGGAAATAGTCAACTTTGGGATATATATGCACATTGCTTAAAAATTAATTCTCCCATCACTTGTTCAATCTTACACTCATTACTAATTCGAATATATTTTTTACTAATTATACTTTGTACATATTTCTCAAATAGATAACTGAATTATTAAACAGTAAGGGGTGTGATACAAAATCCAAATTAGAACTTGTGAAAACACGTTAATAAACCACACAAACACAAATTCTTGTATTTGAAAACCGTCATGTTTTTATTTATATTTATTTTTACATATTTTAATTTCATATCTATTGAAAAATATACTTAGCCATGCTTAAATAAAAAAAGTCGAGAAACAATTGACAATAATCAAACTGTACGACTGTTGTAAAGCAACCTACCCTAATCGTTAGTCAATTTATTTTCTTAACAAATATACATATACTTTCATACATAAAAACACATGCCATTTTTTAAACAAAAAAATCATAAAAAAATTGACATCTTACAATATAAGTATGTATTTTTAAAAAAAACCATAAAAAATTGACATCTTACTATATGAGTATGTATGTATTTTTTTGTTCCAAAAACACATCGATCCACCCGCGTAACCCAGCTTCTTTTTTCCCGAAACCACCAAATATATTAACAGCCAAATCAAGCAAGACTACAAAAATTTACATTAATCAAAAGATATATTATCCAAACTCCCAACATTAAAAAACCTATATATACACCCCATCATTCTCAACCCAAAATATCTCTCCACAGCACCATCACACTNAAAAAAAGAAAAAAAAAACCGATAGCCTCCTCCACCATGTCGGAAAAACTATGCGACAAACACGACGGCAGTCGCGGCCAAAAAGTCTTCCGCATCGTCGCCGTGTTTGTCCTCGTCGTCGTGCTCGCCACCATTCTCATCGCTTTGACCGCCCTCCGGCCCACGAAGCCCACATTCACCCTCGAGGACGCCACCGTCTTCAAGCTCAACATCTCGGCCCCCAACGTCGTCTCGACCACCATCCAAGTCACCGTGTCGGCCCGCAACCCAAACTCCAAAATCGGCATCTATTACGAGTCCCTCCACGCGTACGCCGCCTACCGTGGCCAGCAGGTCACCTACTTCACGGCAATCCCGCCGGCCTACCAGGGCCACAGGGGTGTCGACATCTGGTCACCGTTCATCTACGGAGCCGACGTCCCAGTGGCACCGTACAACGGGCTTGCCCTAGCTCGAGATATGGTTGACGGGGCAATCCCACTCACCGTCAAGGTCAATGGCCAGGTCAAGTGGCGGGTCGGGACGGTCGTGACGGGCAGGTACCACCTACACGTCACATGCCCGGCAGTCATCCCGATTGGGAATAGAAATAATGTTGGGATTGTGGTCGGGAGTGCGATCAAGTATCAGCTCTCGCAGAGCTGTAGTGTCAGTGTCTGATCTGAGTCGAGTCGAGCCCAATGACTTAGATGTGCTTTTTAATTTGTCCTTTGGGTTAGAGTGGTTACTTCATTGATTAATTGTGTTATGGTGCTAACTTTGAATGAAGACTATTTATGTTTTTATGTTAAGAGAAAAGTTATGCAATGATTATTGATTTCATATTTATTTTATCTCCAGTATATTAATATGCAATGTATTCCAATTTGTTATAGTTTGAATTTGAAATGTTTGGCTTTCCCTTTTCATAAACACGTCTAAAGATCAATCAAACATAGTATTAATCACGTAGATAAAGTGACAGTCATATCAATTTTATATTTAGTCTGACATTTTCAATAATTATACATTTTTAATTTTAAGACATTTTTAAGAAATAAATAAATGAATAAAATCTAATATTTTATAATTATACATATTTTAATAAAACATTTTCAAGAAATAAATAAATGAATAAAATCTAATATATCACAAACGTAAGTATTCATCGAAGAGATAAGATGAACATTAATATTTTAACATACCATCAAACTAATATTGTAGAAAGTTCCATAGTAAATTAACCGTTCTTTTATTGTTCAAATACATCATAAAGAAACAACCTCTAATGTTTTCCATAGCTACCGAGATTTGGCTCTTTTATTGTTCAAATACATAATAAAGAAACATCAGCTAATATTGTGCAGAGTTGTTGATTAGGCTGTAATGTAACAATTTCTACTACTTTAATAGTTATGGAATGCATTGTTGGGATAATATGTTGTATATATATTTTATTGATCATATCTTATGAACTATTTCAAAATACTATCATATGTGATTTATATAAAGGGTGTATTCAATTGGAACCTTTAAGAAGTTTTTAAAGTTTTTTAAAATGGGTGGCTTTAATGGACTTTGTGAAATTTTTAATGACTTTGGTGAACATTAAGAGACTTTCTATACAATTTTTATTAGAGACTTTTTAGAATTTTTATAATATACTTTTTGAAACTTATTAAAGCTTTTATATACTTATAGTATAACTATTATATTTCAATGAAATGTTCATGAATCTTGTTTCATAACTATTGTTCACGAACCACTCATTTTTTAATTATGTATTTTTCATAAAATACGCAATCATGGCGAACTTGTTTCCAATTTTTTTTTTTTTGCTATGGTGCATCTCTTGAAATACCTTGCCGTGGTGCAATGTCACTCATTTAAAGTCTGAGGTTTATTAAACGAGTCAAGTCGATCTGAGTTCTTGCGAGTTTCAATGAGTTGAATACCATTCGTTCACACTAACAACACAGTTCACTTAGGGGTGACGACGTCTCCTTGGACCAGCTAAGGCGTGTCTCGAGTTGAGTTCTTATATTCAATTATTAAACGAGCACAAGCTCAAACATGAGTTACTCGTCTAGATAAAATGAAACTCATAATCAATCCGATCATGACATATTTATGTGATTATTATTTGATTTTATTTTAATTCTTTTTATTTTTTACACCATGTTGCAGTATTAGAAAATATTATTAGGGCATAATTCTATGAGGCACAAACCTCGTCAAAAATAGTGATGAAAGTGAAACTCTTAGCAAGTGCAAACTATGCACACATTTGACCTAGAAAGGTCAAATTCACAAGCAAACAATTTAAAGGATGTACATGAAGATACATAAAAACCATAATATAAAAAAAAAAGAAAAAAATGACGCTAAACCTTTGTGATGAAAAAATAAAGTATACACGCTATCAAGATAAATGAGGAAAATAATAGAGTCTAATTGATATGAGATATATAATTGTGTACATTATAGAGAAAAGAAAAATTGGAGAGAGAAGAATTTGAAGAGATCAGTCACATAAGTCCAAGCAAAAAACTCACCAACTTGATGAGATTTCTACTAAGACTTTGTCTCTATAATTTTATTAAAAAAATCACAAAAAATCTTTCAATTTAAAAAGTCTTATAAAGTCTTCTTACTTATAATAACGGCTAACTTATCGAGACTTTTAAAAAGTTTCAAATTAAGACCGACTTTTAAATAAAAAAAAAAATTATTAAAAGTCTCAACTGAATACATGCAAACTTTTAAGAAATCTCAAAAAATTCCAATTAAATACACCAAAATTTTAAAAATATTGAAAAGTAATTATAAGTTTTAATTGAATTGAATACACCCTCTTAAATAAAACATATTAACATTAAAGGTGTAAGGTGTTAAATAATATATCAGCAATGAAAACATATTTAGCTGCAGCATTCCCCAGCATCAAACAAGGCCTTCAATATTTTTTTAAGGCTATTTAATTTATTTCCAATCTTCAAGTTCAAATTCTCACATATGTTCAAATGCAATAGAATTTTGAGGATTTCAAATTAGTGTTACATAATTTTATTTTATTTCATTATTTTGATGGATTTCAAATGTCTCTTAAACATATTCATTTGAAACCACTCTATTCTACATTCATCACCAATCCGAACCAACACCACCATCGCAAACATTTATTATAATCTTTTCGACAAATCTATATAACAAGATTGAAAATTGCGAATTTGAATTTCAAATAGTACATTTGGATTGCGTGATTCGAAATTGAGGTATTCGAAATCTCCCAATTCAAACGTAGTCCAAGACAAATCAATATATTTCCCGCAACTCTCTCTCTCACGGCGTAATATTACCCGTCAAAAAAAAAAATTGTACAAAAGATCAACAGTTTTTCACTCCACAACATCAAAACAGAGCTTCGCCTCATCCCATGGCCCATTGATCTCAAACTTATACTCTTGAATCCTAATCAACCAATAAGGGCACACCAAATTAACAAACCCCAATATCCCCACCAAAACAACGAAAAGCAACAGGTGCAAACGATAAACGAGAAACAACGTCACAGCCATTAACCCCAACGAGAAACACAAATGCACACGAAAAGACCATTTCTTGATACAGTACCCAACATAAGGAGCGAACAAAAATACCTGCAAAGAGAACAGCAAAATACCGAAAACGTGCAGCCATGAAGGAAGTCTCGAAGCAATCAGAAGCGAGGCAACTATAGAAGCACTCAGCGAAACATTGTTCATGAAGTTCGAGTATTCAAGATCCCCATAATTGTGTAGAAACAGATGGAGAATGATGAGTGAAGCCGTTAGAGCCCAAATAGAATCCGAGCTTATCGAACGAGTGAGGGTTTGGTAAACTGGGGATAAAACGTACAATCCGGCTATAAAAAACGAAGCTTTGAGGAAAAAATTGAGCAGGAAATCGAATGACAGTGTTTCAGCAGTTAAAAGAACGACGAGAAAGAACCCGACTGCTAAAAGTGTGATATTGAGCAAGATAAGGGACCTTTCTGTAATTACGGATCTAAGGGTATAGGTCCAGACCAAAACCACAAGGGCTACTATGCAAAGATATTGTGAGATGGAAACCGAGTCGAGTATCACCTTCACTAAATCCCTTTTCACGACATTTGCATTCATAATCATGTCTTCTAGAAAGGACTCGTCCGTGTAGTTATCGTCAAACCCAGGTTGCATGCCGCCATACGCGACTTTTCTCCATTTAGGAGGAGTTGGGGAAAATCTTTTGTGCATTTGAGGTTCCATTTGGATTGTGAAAATCAACTAGAACACGTCTGTGAATATAAACAAACCATTTAGAACCAAAGTGATGGTATTTAATTCAGAGTTGATCAAAGAAAGAACGCGTTGATCGACCAAATCATAGTAACAATCAGCTAATATCGGAAATTACAAAACGATTGCTCATTTGATTGTGTCTTGTCCTAAATTTACTGAATTGTTTTGAACGGGCAGCGCCTCACATTTCTAAAGAAATGTTGCAATTAGCCCTTTAACTTTATTGCTGAATCAAAAAGAAACCAGGGGTGTGTGTCTCAAAAAATGCTACAATCGCGTGTCTGTTTCATTAATTAGATCAAAATTCGAGGTTATTTTTTGTAATTATTCTTTAAGATAATATGCAAGTACAAGAACTAAGGTTCATTAAGAGCTGATTAATCAACAACCCTGATGATAAAATTAACGAAAACTTGGAAAAAATAAACAAAATTTCTATCAGGTATCGTACAATTCATGATTTCACCAAAGCAAATAACCATTACGAGATATCAAAGAACCAAACAAAACACACACACACACACACATACACGCACACACACACAATTCTCGACCTGTGGACATCAAATTCGTAGTTGAACAGCAATCAATAAGACCCTTTTCAAAACCTTTAACTTCTAGATTTACATTTCAATACCATTACAGCAACAGAAATATTTCACGACGAATTTCGGATTTATTCATTTTGAGCGATTGGGGTTTGTACAATTGGCAAATAGAAGCTTACCCATTTGAAGCATTGACCACAGCACCGTGTTCACCTCACCGAGGAGGTTGTCCGTTCGCCGATCGGAGATGGAGGCAGTCAGAGCGCCAGAGTCGGTGGAATATATACTTGTTCTTTCTTATACCCTTTCCCGTTAGTGTTTTTAAGAATTTTATTTTAATTTGTTTTAATTGTCTCCTTTTTTTTTCAGAAAAATGATTGGGGTAACTTGAGATCTATAATAATTGTCTCCAATTTAAAATTATCGTTAATAATTATATAATATTAATAGAATATAGAATATAATCGTAAAACAAATATTAATATAAATATATTAAATACAAAAATATATTCATTTTAAAAAGTATAGTAAATATATAAATATATATTAAAAATATAAATGTATTTTGTAGTTAATATATTTATCTCATACATTTATGATATAGATATATTTATTTGTCTATTATATGAATATTTAATACGTTTATAAATAATTTTTAAAAATGAAATTTCGAATCGCATCAAATACATTCAAATATTTTAAACAAAATGAATCGAATACAAACAACAACAACAACAACAACAACAACAACAACAACAACAACAATATACCCAGTATATTCCCAACAGGTTGGGGTCTGGGGGTCAGTTGTACGCAGACCTTACCCTTGTAATTATACAAGGAGGCTGTTTCCGTAGCGACCCAAGGTGCATTACGCCGTTTGATATATTTTTTTTTTTTCTAGAAACTTCACTAATAGAAGAAACACTAGAATTTAATTGAGCCATTTTGATCTAGTCCATTATTAGCACTATGCCAGGAGAATTGTCAACAATGATCTTCCAGCTCCATTTGATAATCGAATACAAAACACAAATTAAATTTGATAATATATTAAATACCAGTACAAGTATTCAAATAATTTCATAATTTCGAATCAAATAATTAAGTGTTCACTTCGATTTAACAACACGATTAACAATGTTCCACAATTTAGATTGATAAAATCATTGACAGACGGACTAAGCTCAATCTACAATCTAATCCAACAAATGAATGTCGTTAAGGAAACTCAAACCTACATAAAATGAGTGACGATAAAATTATTAAGTTTGCCTATAAACTTTTTTTTAAAATGTGTTATACATATAATATTAAATATAGAAAATTTTATTGTTAACAAACTTTTTTTTTAGTTTATTAATTATTAAACTGCATTTTATTTTATTATTCATTATAAAAGGACATGAATAAAACGGTCGGGTTGTAGCAGTTAGTTACTAGGGGTGTTCATGGGTCGGTTCGGTCGATAGACTGAACCGAAAATACAAAAACTGAATTAATTAAGTTACTATATCTATATGTCAAAAACCGAAGTATAACCGAACCGAATTATTCGATCGGTTAACCGAACTTTTACAAAAAAACAATTTTTTTAGAATTGTTTACTGGAAATAAAAAATAAAACAATGGGTACAGATTGAACAAATGGAATAAACCCCCCATTCCAGACTTGTATAAATCCCAACTGTACAATACAACTATCTGTACTCTGTACAACTATCCAAATCAGAATTCAGAACTAATTATTCTATTCTCTAATCAGAAAATAAATCTCACAATCATAAACACATACAGTCAACATAAACATCACACAATTCACAAACATACACGATCTTCACTACAAGTCTGGAATTAGAAAATAAAACAAAAAAGACTTTACCTTGATAATGAAACTGAGATTTTGGGAGAGTTGGGAGAAGACTTTCTCCCTTGACGGTGAACAACAGTGTGCCCGGCCGAAACCTCCAAGCTCAGCGCCCTCGACTGACGAATCGACGACCGGCGACAAGGAGTCGCAGACGCAGCTACTTGAATCGATCGGAGAAGACGATTTGGTAAATTGGGGGATGATTCAGACTGGGGCGATTTAGGGAGAAGGAGCGGCGCGCCGGCGGCGGAAGATTTGGGGACGACGGAGGAATTGGAGAAGAGTAGGGAGAGAGAGGAGATTGAGACCGACGGGTTTTTTTTTTCTTTCTCTGTACTATGTATTCTGCCTGGATGTTTATGATTAGGGATTTTAGGTATTGAAATAATATATTATTTTATAATATAAGTATAATATAATATTTGGCCGATTCGGTTATTTCGGATATTTGAAGTCCAAAAATCGAAACCGACCGAAATAACCGAACAATTAAGAGTTGAAAATCGAAAATCGACCGAGCCGGATAAAAACCGAACCGAAATTTTCTGTTCTGTTGGTTTCGGTCAGTTCTAGTCAAATTATGCACACCCCTAGTAAAGTTACTGGGCCTGGACCTGGAGTATCAGACAAAAATAATAAACAAAGGCCCAATATTCATTAAATACTTCAATTAGCTCGGCCTATTATGAAATTAGGTCTAATATATGCCTTCAAAATTTAAAGATTATGATTTTAAGGCATTTATTTATGGCTAGTCTTTTCACCGTTATCCCAGCTTTTTTCTTTTTATCATAAAAAGTACATTCGAATATTTAAATTACAAGTGATATCACCCTTTTTTTCCGCATTTTATTCTAATTTTGTCAACCCTATTTGTAAAACCTATACAAAACTCAATCATCATTATTCATATATTTCGAAGCAAATTACAATCGTAGGACCGACCAATATCAATTATAGCTATTCAAACATTATAGTTCTAAAAAATCATATAAATATCTAATGAAACTCATCATATAATACACATTTAAATTATTAAAAATTAAATAAGAACAATGTTGCTATCAACTTTATAAACTAGATGTATATACGCGTGCGGTGTTAAGTTGTTTTGTCGTTTTTATTGTATTTTATTTCAATAATCATGTGCATATAAGCTTATTTAGTTGATTTAAAATTCGTTAACATTAATGCGCACATGCACGCGCACACATGCATAAACTTATTTAAAAACTACAATCAAATTGATTTAATGCTCAATTTTGATAACCTAAATCATACTTAAACTCGACGGCCACACTAAATCAAACAAAAGTCATAGTAATTTCTTGTTTCTTGTAAAATTGTTGGCCATCTTGTTTTCATCCTTGAATGACTTTCCAAATATATAAATACGCCAACTTTTAAGATTGTCTTTTTGCTAATTATTAAACACTATATAAGTTTATGAGTTTATAGATGTTGATAAAAATAATGGACGGTGGGATACTCCTTTTTGTTGAAGGAGGCGACCCGAGTCGAATAGCTCATTTTCGAGCTAGTGTTCATTCAATGAATAAGCTCAACTCTATTTGACTCGTTAAATGCGCTTAAACCCTTAATAATTTGTGTGTTAATAATTTCAACTTGTTTCTTGTAAAACTAAAAAAAATTATCTGGGAACAAGTTCGACTCGACTCGTTTAATAAACAAATTCGAATAGCTATTCGAGCTCAGCTTGTATAAACGAACAACTTGTGCTCAACCTTTCATAAGTCGGACCAAATTGTATTCGCGAACAACTCACTAAACTCTAATAACAGCTTTAAATTTTGTTATAGAGAAAATAGGATAATTGACTTATATTGTTTTGTTATATCTCTTTAAACCATATATTTATATGTAAATTTGCAATAGCTATTTTACATATATTTCCAATATTTTTTATTTTCATTATATACTAAAAATGAGAACCTAAATTACATGATAGGGCCCCATTCCTCAAGTAGTGATTCCTCATAATTATCACAATACCAAAAAATAGAAAAAAAGAAGTGGAGAGTTTATTCTTTATAGTTGGAGAGGGACTTCATGAAANGTACCTAAAAAATATGGACATATGTCCCCATCCATTCTCATGCTAAGTATTTTACTTTATCAAGTGTTTAATCATTCACATTATTACTACTAGTTGAGGTTTAGAATCATGCACTTGGATGAATCATATACCTATTATGAATTAAAAGTCCTAGCAGTTGACACTTACTTTTTTGTGATAAAAGTGTTTTTGTCTAAATCCTCAAATATTCAACCATTTTCTAAATAATACTCCATTAATTTAAAAATAATTGTTGTTCTAAAAATAAAAAAATATAAAAGACAACAATTTACTGCGAACAATTTCTCTCGCCTCATGCCATGACTGCACCTGAATAGTTGAACTTGAAAAGCCCATTGTTATTTGACTTTTGTAAAGTCATTACAAACTGAATTCACATTGTTGATCCATCTTAAAAACACTTGATTTCATAATTTTCATGTCTATGCAGACATGAGCACATTTGAACGTAATTTATAACTTTTTTAGGACATATATAATGGTTTGTGGCAATGATATGATTGGTATTTTCGTAAAGTAACACATTATTTTGTCTTTTCAAGGGGTTTTACGGGTTTCAATTACACTAACAATAATTTGGAATTAGTATCAAATTGACATTAAGCTTATTAACACTATTACTAAACGTAAACTAATTAATTGTTGATGATTGAGCAACATTCCCAAAAACTTGATGAATCGTTGAACATTTATAAGGAAAAAGTGAAATGTATGATATGACGTACATGTAATGAAGTATGTACAACTTATCCGGCTCTTAGTACAATAAACCTTGCTTTTATTATAGAATATCAACTTTTCATCTAAATTAACTTTACGTCGCAAACTCTCTTATTAAAAAAGAGTACCATAGAGTATTTTTATTTTATTTTTCTTTTGAGCCGAAAGTATTTTATTAAATTCGTAATGTGAGACGAGACAATTAGAATAAAAAATCTTGATTTTCATGTTCATACATTATTGGACCACATCAGCCTAGAGTTAACCAATAGGTCGGCAACCCCATTTGACAAGATTTCCCCCCTATTTTTATTTTAAGTTTTTTTATTCTATTTCCTCTTTTAGTCTAAACTAATATGTCATGATAAGTAAAAAAGTACAAAGTTACCCCAGGTAACTTTTAAACTTGGGGCAATCAATTTACCAACACCAAGTGGGGACTGGGAGACAAAT